TTAAAGGCAAATAATTATTATTTAGTCCAGCATGATTTTTTTAACCTAATTTGAGAATGCTGAGTCCGAAAAAATATGCTGGTCTTCATTGAAATGGCGTTAAACGGGTCAAAATGGCGATTCAAAATGTCGGACATCCAATTTTTCTAGTTATCTCTTACTGTTGTTCAAATAGGAGAAGGAATGCATGAATATCTTATTGAACGTAATGCAACTATAAAAATGATAATAGAACACTTACATTGTCACTTTAATTCATAAAATTTTGCCTTTTTCGCATTGAATTTCAATTTTCTCTGATTTTTCTATTGTTTCGACATTCTTCTTTGTCTAGGATTTTTACATTTGCAAACATCAAAACAGTACAGATTGGTGTTTTCCTCCACACCTTACTATTCTACAACTGTTGGTGCAGTTCCCAGTTATAAAATCTAGGAAAAAATCTCTGCAATGGCCTAGCTAATCATAAGTTTGCAGCAAACAACCTAGAACATCCATCCCGTTTCGTTAGACATGGTAATGTTGGCCTGCCATTACTTGCCTATCTTTATACCAGTGCCTGGCATTGTGCTCGCTTTGTTTGTATATGAAAGAAATTAAAGGCATTATTCCTAAATAATTCCGAAGAATTAAGTGGACACTGTGTCTTTGTTACCAACTTAAAGACAAATCTTGTTTTTTCTTAATTTTTGATCTGTTAATTTTCCTTCTCCTCAACCTGCTATAAACACATAGTTTCTGGGAAGATTTCATTGATATGTATAACATCATATCAATGAGTGAAGAGTATGAAATAAATGTTTCCAAAGCTCTGGAAAGGACCAATTTATCGCTAAAACAACATAAACAGGAATTAATGCAGGCTTTAGAAAGGTTCCAGCCGTCATCTACAGGTATCTATAATTCTGGAAATAATGAACAAAAATAAGACATCGATATCCTTCAAGCTATCACACCGGTAATTGACCAATCAAAATGAACGTAGTTCCATACATAATAAAGATTTTTTTTTTTGTTGTTGTGAGAAATTTTATATTTTTCCTTCTTCTATTTTTATCTGTACTTAGGATATTTTATGTACTTTGTAAAATGTTGAAGGTTTTGACAGGAACTATTTTTTTTTTCAGGGCATGGGAGACCACTTCCTGGGGTGCACACACAATGTTTACAAACATTGAAAACACGTGGTTTTAGGATATGAAAAAATCAGAAAATGCCGTGTACGTACCTTATTTTATGGTGTCAGCTGATGTGACTGGTAACGTTTAACACTTCCTGCTAAATATTTTTTCATGAATTCAAATACCTGATTTTTAAAGATTTTTTATTCTATATACTGAAAACAATTACTGATGCGATACCTTTAAATCGATACTTGAACAATCTGGTGATGGATCATCGACGGGCGAGTTTGGTGAATGATACGTCTTAATACGTTATTTTATCTATAAACAAGAATAGATATGGGTTACCCCATATCCAAGATATTCGACTTTTAATTTATTCGAATTTTCATTGTGCTCAGATGATTTCTCATAAAAAAACAAGTATTTACTGATAAAACGTCAGAGATACTCAAGCTGTTGAAAGTCAACTATAAAAGTGCCATAAATATCCTAAAATGACATAATATTTAGGCTACTGAGTCTCAACATCTTTTGTTGAATAAAATAATTGCTAGCGCTCTCGAGCGCTAGCAACTACGTTAGTCTATATTTCTGGAATACGCATGCTCGACTTCACGGTCGGGCATTCTGGGAAAACTACTGAAGATAGACTGTACGATGATAATTTCGTTTTATCATAAAAAATAGATATGATCCGAATTCTGAATTTCTAAATTTATTGTCTAGCCTGATTAAATATACAAGAAAAATTTGGGTCATATAATTCCAAGATTGTAGAGATCAACTGGTAAAAGCTAGCTTTCCTTACAGCTAACCATGTACATGTATACTACATGTACCTTCCTAGATAGTTCCGGCAAGCTCAGAAAAAAAACCCAATAAATCTTTCAGAGTATGTCGGGCAGACACGAGAAGCGATTGATACAATGCATTAGCACTGATATATTATAATTCTTTAATTTTTTGACGGAAAAGCCCGAGTAATGATCCGGTTGTTATTGCTATAGCGCTCTCGAGCGCTAGCAACTACGTTAGTCTTTTTTACTGGAATACGTATGCTCGACTTCACGGTAGGGCATTCTGGGAAGACTACTGTAGATAAATGTACCATGTCAATTAATTTCGTTTTTTAATCTGAAAATACATATGATCTGAAGTTTCGTGTTTTGTTGTCTAATCTTAAATAAATGTACAAAAGGTAACAGTGACTGCCAAAACTGTACAGATCAGTTATAATTTTTAAAACTATAATAAAAAAAACTAGCTATTTTTAACTATCTTCCTGGATCTTTCTGGCAAGCTCGGAAAAACAACCTCGGATATGTTTTCCGAGCTTGCCGGAAAGGCCCGAAAGGATGCGATTGCTACAAAACAGTACCACACTGGAATATTTTTAAACTAGGTGTTCATTGCTTCTACTTATCTCTTATTTTTCACTTCAGTATTGAAATTACAGTAAACTACAGAATGCTTAAAGCACAGTTAATGATTCATGCCATTGCCAATGTGAAAACCCACTCTAGATTCACCATTCTGAATTAAGACACATTCCCCCAACGCCACCTCCAGTGTACATGTACCACTGTGTCTTCCTATTAATAATTAGGGACGACCATTTGATTCTGAGGGGGGGGGGGGCAGATTTTGGAAATAAATAATCTGTCCTCAAAAAAGTTGAAAATAAATAACTGTCTTTCCACGACCGGCAAGAAAATAAATAATCTGTCCTTGACTATTACTTCTTATCCCCCCCCCCCCCGTCCCCGTTTGAACTTTTTTGGTTGTTTTTGTTTTGTTTTTTTTTTTCAATGAAGAAGAAAATAAATAATCTGACCTTGATCATCTTGAAAATAAATAATCTGTCCTTGACTGGCATGAAGATAAATAATCTTACTCGAAAAATTTTGCCAGACCCCCCACCCGAACCCCCCCCCTCCTCAGAATCAAATGGTCGTCCCCTTAATCGATTCAGCAAATTAATCCAATAATTTAGATACCTCATTCTGTGGTTTATGATAGCTACAGCGCTAGCTCACCTATCTTTTTAAAAGATAAGCTTGTTATGCATGTATACTAGGAAGCAAACTACATGTACATATATAACGTTACATGCATGTAGTGACTTTATCACAAAGTTGCACATGCGAGATCGGTTGAGGCTGTGGAGCATCACTGAATATTTCTCGTCATAGAATAGAATCCGACATTTAACAATTAAGATAGATTTTGAATATACAGACGTTTTGAAGATAAACTTCGTTTTTGTTTCTAGAAATGTTTTTATTTACAAAAATAGAATATTTTCGTGTTTTTAAACTGAGTAGATCGATTACCTAGACTCGTTTTAGATAACTCAGCCCCTCTAGCCCAGTCTAGGGCTTGAGTAAAAAATCTGCACTTGTTATGAAACTGGTGAATAGTTCTAAACTTCTTCATGTCTGTAGCAAATATTGATACCCAGTCTACATGAGCTAAGCGTCACTAGGGAATGGTGCACACACCTGTTCTTGCAAGACCAAATAGCCTAGGTCTACACACGTGCGAAGATCCTTTCCGACGAGCTCGGAAAATCACGTTGCTTAGCCGAGAAGTTACGATTGCAGGTGTTTAGCCATAATAACCATTCCGTTATTTAAAAAAAGAGAAAAAACACACACAGTTAATGATTAACATTCTAACTCAAAAGAAAATATAAGGCAATTAACGAACAATAATCATGACAGTAATATAATTGGTGAAAAGATTTATCATTATCAATCGAAGTATGACCTATATATTTTCGTGAAAAAGACTGAGGAGGCAGCGAGCGTAGGAATATGAAAACTTTTTATTTGCTTCTCTGGGGAAAAAGTGATTTTCTTTCAATCTTTTTACGTTAATTTTGTTTTCTTTAACGTATTAAATATACAGCATTATTCTTAACATTTGTTGTAATGTTGTATCTACTGATCATGAATGGAACTATTTTCTTCGGAGCAATTGTGTGAAGAGTACCTGACTTTAGTAATATATCTTGAATAGATAATATGCACTGATCGAATATATTAAAAAAATCGAATGAAGCTGTATAGTTGGCTGTAGCCATAGTGATCAAACTAAGAATTTTGCACGATTACTTAATCTTTGGTTGTTAGTACGGGAATTAATATCGCAGCTGTTGCAGAAAAAAAAAATACATAACCCGCGAAAGACATTTTATTGTTTGTATTTATATCTGTATAAATAATCATTAAAAGTAGGCCTAAAAAGATTAATTATTGTATTATTGATATGTACGTCATAGTACGTTTCGTTGATGGAACTGCCACTGGTCAAGAAATTTGTACAGGTGATATGCTTAGTGTTGTTCATGAACTCAAAAACGGCAATGGTTTTCTTTAGAAATAAAGAGAAAGTATTCAGTGGATGTAAATATATTTGAAATAATACAATAAATATAAAGATTGTTTTCATTGTCAATTTTAAATTACAAAAGGGTATTTAGGTGCATAGAGTGAACTGTTTTACTTCATACTACATGTACCATTAAAGAACATACACATATAGTTTGATTTATTTGTTATTGATGTTATTTAAAACCAGTAAAGCTGAATATATAAGTAACAATGAGTCAAAACGTTTGTGCAAATCATTTTCATTTAGTGTTGTAATAATAAACCTCAAATAATTGTTGATTAATTATTTTTTCCATCTGTATTTTTAAGAAATCCATTGAAAACAAGCGTTGAAGCTTTAATAGGTTATCCTGATATTAAATATATACGTATGTACAGTCATGCATGTAATTTATTGTATTTATTTATAAATGCGTAATATCATGGCTTTCAATACCGGTACCGTTGTCTTTCATTAATGTAATATTATTGATGACTTTTAGGATGCATCTGTAAAAATCAGATCCCCGTCCTGTGTCACTGTGTGGTAACCTTCAGATCCACCACTGGTTTTTATCTTCTCTATCTCATTCCCCTGTAGATCTGTTTGAACAAGATTACCATCCCAGTCACTGATGCAGAGTCTGTCTGATTGATCTAGTGATACATGGAATACATCATCAACACCTGGTACACTGAACTCCCTGACCTTGCTGACAGTGGTAGATAGAGACAATGTTTGTTTCTTGTCAGATTTCTTTCTGTCTTTTTTCATCTGTTTATATGTAGGTTTCATTGCTGTGTTGTAGACACTTTCAATAGGTCTTATTTCCCTCTTCTCTGCTTTAGTGTTGGGGACATTTATTTTACCAAGTAATTTGGTGACATCACTTTTGCTGTATTGACCAGCAGTAAATCCTGGTGTGACTGGTTTTGTTGTCTCTGGTATGGATCGGATCTTTAGCTTCTTCTCAGACATTAATTTCTGGAGATCTGAAGAGGACAGGCATATGTGGAGCTCTTTGATAAGGTCATTAAGATAAGTGAAATAACCATCCAATGTCTTATCTTGGGTTTTTAGATCTTTAAAAAGTGAATTTTCTATCTGGTCTAGCTGCTTCATGTTCTCAGATACGACTGTGTCCATCAGACTTTTCAGGGACTCACCTTCAGTCTTCATAGATGTTCTGATGTGTCCATAATGTGTTTGATTTCAGAAGAATCTTCTTTAACTTCTTTCTTTCTGTAGGTCTTGTGACGTTGGGAGAAAGTACTCATGGATCTTGGAAAATTCTTCTTGAAAATCATCAGACTTTTCTGCATAAATTGTCTCCAGGTCAGTATATATATGCCCCTGATGCTCTCTTTGTGTGGCACATTTGAAACATACTGGAACTAGACATTCTTCACAGAGCATGTCCACATCCTTAGTGGGGTGGATCATGCATTTCTCCACAGGAAGTTGTCGTTTGCGTTGCCTGTAAAGGACCACGTCATGGTTCTTGTTTTCTGGACTTTTCAGATGTTCATCTCTGCATTGTTTACACAGTCTTCAATGACAATGGTTGCAATAGTACTCGCAATTTCCCTCACATTCTTCACTGCCACATTCTAAAAAGTGTTGATCTCTGCGGGGAATATCAATTTTAGATAAAGCCATCTGAAAATAATAATAAAAAAAAATGTATTTTGAAAAGAACAATTCTCATTAAACAGGTTGGGAACAATCGCCCAAATGGGTTATAATAACCCGTTTGGGATATAATATCCCAAATGGGATATAAATTTACAGTGCAAAAAAATGAAAATTTTTATTTTGGCTATAAGTATCATAAATCCGTATCAAAATACTTTAAAAGGAATAACTTTTGGCAAGCAAGTTTTTCTGCAACCCTAGGTTGTTAAACTGATCCCCAAGAAGTTTACAGTCGTCATACAGAAAAACTTGTTAACCAAAAGTTATTCCTTTATAAGTATCTTGATGCGGATTTATGATATTTATAGCCAAGATAAAAATTTTCATTTTTTGCATTGTAAATTTATATCCCATTTGGGATATTATATCCCAAATGGGCTATTATATCCCATTTGGGCGATTGGTCCCAACCTGTTAAAGTTTATCTGTGGTCCCCGATTACTCGTCAAATTTCGAACATTTATTAAAAGATTTAAAAATTAAATTTTGTTATTAAGTAATGTCTTTATTATTTGAATCATCATCTAGAAATGTCAAACAATATATATAGGCAGCATACAAAGTTGCATGTTGAAGATATGGTCCTTTGATTTTCAGTGACAGGTACACACTTCAAAGCTTTCATCAACACCGAGCACAGGTCATAAAATTTCCACCCTATACCTGCACATCTGCCATCCCATAGTCGAACAGTGTGGATGTTCTTAAGCAAGCCAAAAATTTTTGTAGGGTGTACAGTGGCATATATTGAAAAGAAAATCAAAAATGCATCAGTCTACTTTTGTAATTTTAAATGTAGCCCGTTTCGGTTCAATTACTACAAAACCATTAGAGACTGTTAGTGTTTGTTTACCATGAAATATATGAAGATAACGAACAGTATCCAAGCTCAAAAGTCCATCAACAATACAAAATAGGAGCAGAGCAAACACGGACCTCCAAAACATCAGAGGTGGGATCAGGTGCCATGGAGAAATGAGCATCCCCTGCCGACCTGTCACACCCGCCGTGTGTTCCTTGTCATGATCGGGAAATAACGGAAAAATCAGTTGACAATTCAGTGTGTAAATAATGGCCTAACAATTAGTATGAAAAACGTCAGTCAGCATTTGACTCAATGATAAATTGTATTTGCTGACAAGGTTATTGTATCGACTATAGAATTTACGAAATGATGACTTCAAACGAGACTGCTGAAATTCTTGTTTCATCAACTTGTTTGTCAATAATTTTAGAAATTGTGCATACGTAGAACATGCTCTTGCATATCGAATTGCGAATCGTATCGGGACCGGATTGGATAGTAGTTGACCTAAATCGATGTATTCTCCCTTAACAAATTTTTGTTTGATTGATTCTGAAACGATTGCCCCCAAACTACCATATATACTATCAACTTCGTTACCTGTTGTTTCAACATGATAAGCAGACTCAAAAATGACATCTGTTACATTGATCGAAGGAGTAGCCAGAATTGAATAAGTTGAAGTAGTAGAACAGGTTGTACTGGGTGTGTTTTCCTCTGATACTGGGACAGAGATATCCAGTGTTGAAACTTCTGTGGATGTAGAAACTGATCCCCTTTTTTCTTTTACCCGGTGGTGCTGGCTTGGCAGCGGATTGACGCTTCACCGGCTTGGCAGCTGGTTTTCCACTCGGCATTCTGCTTTTCTGAAAAACTTGAGATGCAAGATATGTCTGCTCTTCTTCGTTCTTCAAAGGAAAAGGAAGTACCTAGGATTCGACAAAATGCCAAAAGTTGAACAATCGGGGAAATGCTAATGACCCGATAACCCTAAATATGGGACTCTCTGATAACGCGATTTAATTTTCAGCAATTATATCGAAATATGACCTACAGTGGGGAGACTACTTGTAAATATGGGGGAAAACTTAGAGAAAGTCGGGTTTGGGACTGATGAAATAATAGGCATAAAATTAGATTTAGCATTTGTGTGGGTTGAATTGAATATGTAACCGGGAGTAGAACTCTTAAATGAATAAATTAACAAAGTTACTAGCCAACTTGGCTTAAAGCAGTAAACTATCTCCAGCTATGTCTGTCAACCCAGGTAAGGGGATATCAGAACTATGATCAACGCTAAATGAAAACACAGTTGTAAGTTTATATAAATTTAATAAAGTTAGAATTAAGCTTTGCAAATGATAACAAATAAAAAATAATAATCAAAATTTAACAGAGAATAAAGTCTTTAAAAATTGCACAGGAATGAATAAAGTTGTATCAAAAATATAATTTAATTTGCCAAGTGAATAACAAAAATCTCAATAAATAAATAAGAAGTTTATGAAAAATTTAATAGAAAATGGGAGGAATGTGGAAAACCTATGAAAAATGAAAGATGCTTAAAAAAAATATCTATATCCCTACTGAGTCTCCATACTTATAGAAAAAAAAATGGGCAAAAATATATACAACTGAAAATGCCAATGAGCTGGAAAATGTCAGGAAAATGAGCGACACCACCCTAAATAAACTCTATCTATCAATACTCTATACTGAATTATGAAAAACGGCACTAAATCTGGACTACTATTAAAAATAACTAACCCAGAAAATAAACCAACACCAAAATGTGAAGGGTAAAAAATAATAATAATAGTAAATAGCGGTTCTAGGAATAAGACCTGTTATCTACATTTCCTTACACCAGGCTGGACTTGGAAAGGGAACCTAACTTATTTACAAGTTTGGCTTTCCAGAAAGCCATAAATGTCATCTCTTTGGCTTCATGAATGTCACAGAATAAACAGTGGAATGTTACATTATTTTTTCAGCTATTACATGCAGTAGTATCGCTTTTGAAAAAAAGGGAAGGGGGGAGAAAAAAATCGACGACTTATCTGAACAATCTTTGACAAGGGGAAAAAGGGGCTGTCCAAACTCCACATTTTCATTTCTTGAAAGGGAGGATTAAAACTTTTCCAACAAACATATTTTATATTATAGTACATTCCCATGGGATGATTTGACGTACCATACTGCAACAAAAGATGGAAGATGGGGCAAGGACGCGCCTTTGAATGAATATTTTTAATGTTTGGGAAAAACATGGAAGGGGGACGACCCTCCTGTTGCTACATGCCTATATTATTTTACTTGTTGTAAATATGCTTTATTCATTTTGAATATTTTTTGTACAATGTCTGTAAAAAGAAATCTAACCACTGAGAAATATTCGTAAAAATTAGATATAAAACAATTGTTCCGTATGAAGATGGATAAAACCTTAGCGTTTCTTTTGACTTTAGTTTCTAGTCGCCTACTATAACAGCAAAGCAGTTTTAAAGCGCTAACTTAAATTAATCCGAACCTCAATTATAATTTCCAAAGATTTTCCTTATTTTAAACGTATCCTCTGAAGTGACTTGGCTATCGAGCCACTGGGAATATCAAGGAAAACATTGAGACACTCCTGCATCATATCCTTCTGCTGCCAATATGCAGATTCATGTGTTAACGCTATATTATGTATATATAAGTACATGTACACGTATAAGCTTGTGGGAAAATAGCATGCATAGAGAGGTTATAAAATTGAAAAGTTACCATTTAAAATTAAGTATTGGCACACTGAAAAGAACCTCAATCTACCAACATCGATTTTATACGCTGTTTCACGAGACACACTTTTTATAATTTTGGCTTTATTTCAAGAATACGAGGAGTGATTTTTTTTTTTTACTTTTTTCCATTAACAAAAAAAATGCAAATTAGAATTGCATAGAGAATTAAATTGATAAGTTGCTTATTTATTAATCCTTAAAAAACCTGAGCCAGGTCAAGAAAATTGTGTTTTTCCTAAAACTTTTCCGCAGGAGTAATTTTAAAGAAAAAAAGAATAGTGAAGACATCCGAGAAAATACTCATAATGATTCTTTACTATTTTTATTCCAATGCCTGCAGCACTGAGCTACTTAAATCAGAGACATTAATTTATGTTTCTGCTTAAATTGTGCTTTTAGGTAAAATTTCTTTTCTTCGAAATTTATTTTTTTTGAATAAGTTCTGTTTTATTTTTCATATACGGCAGTAAGTACATATAAAAGTTAAGTTTTTGCCATTATATATATGCATTTAACGTGAATGTTTTCACTGTTTTCTTTCGTCAGTAAATCTTGGATCCACGCCTTGGCTTATACATTCAATATGCCATGTTTTGTGTATTTTGATCCCCGCGCGCTGACCATCGTTTCTGCTTCTGCCAAGTATTGCCCACAATCAACAAGCTGATTATTATGGCAAATTTAGTGCGCATGATATGACCAAAAATTAAAACTTTAAAAGGTTAATATTAATAATATTTCTTACTTATGGTTAGAAGATGATCACCTGAGACCTAAAGGTGTCAGGTGTATTTGCCGAGACTATCATTCCACTCTTTGATGGTCCAAGGGAAATAGGAAAACTTTTTACGCAATAACCTAGATACAATGTTTATGTGTATTTTGAAGACCACCAC